GATTGGTTCAACATACACAAATCAATAAATGTAATCATCACATAAATAGCATCAAGGACAAAAATCATATGATAATCAACAGATGCAGAAAAAGCATTCAACAAAACTCATTACCCATTCATGTTTAAAAATACTGAAGAAATTAGGCACAGAAGGAGCTCAACCCTTCTCAAGTTTGATAAGCCAACACACAGAACTCAGAAAATAAAAGATATGCCGAGTTTTATTACAAGAGATACAAATCAACCAATCCACAAATGAAGACACATAGGATATGATATGCGAGAGTCCTCAATGAAAAGTTTACATGCCCTCTGTCCCTGAAGTCAGGGTGCACCAGTCCCAGCACATCAATGTATTAAGTTCTCAATGTTGGAGTGGAGTTTTTATTTGAGTTTCTTTATGTAGGTATGATTAAATGAATCACTGGCCATGCAATTCAAGTCAATTTTCACCCTCCTTTCTCTTCCCAGATGTTGGTCAAGTTCAAAGACTCGGCCTTCTTATCACATTGTTGGTCTTTCCAATGACCAGTTAACATCCAGAGTCATGTCATGTCATTAACATAATCCCATATGTAATCCAAGGGCTCAGGAATACCAAAAATTCCTATTATTTGAGAAATTCAAAGTATTTCTATTTTTCTGGGTCTGGGGCTATAGCTCAATGGTAGAGCACTTGCCTCATACATGTGAGGCACCGAGTTCGATCCTCAGCACCACACAAAGATGTGTGTCTGTCTACAAATAAAGAAGTATTTTTTTTAAAGTATTTCCATTTTTCCCCTCATAGGAACCTGTTTCAAAGGCAAGTCAAATTCTTTATTGCACACAGTCTGAAAATGCACATTCAATTTGTAAATCATAAAGCCACAAGACATTTTGGTGAGAACAGTCAAAGAAGAAACAAACCAGATGGCTATGTATTGGGGAATAAATTGGGAGTGTGGAAGTAGTTACAGTAAGTATGACCTATTTCTGTAAGAAGTTCAATTAAGATGACAATTTATGCAAAGAGGTGTGAAAACAGAGAAAGAAGATGCACAAGTAAGCAAGTGCCTTGCTCCAGGAGCAAGTCTTTAGGAGATTGCTTGGTTGATACTGCCTTATGTTCAATTTATGCTACTATTCTCACCCACCTTCTGGAGGTTTTCAACTTTAACATTTTCCTTATATGAAATCCTTGTTGCCATTTCTCTCTTTACATAATTATGCAGAACTATACAATTACTTCATCCTTTGCCAAAAGTAGAAGCCTTTTTATGTGTTCAAAGAAACAAGGACCAAATATCTTGAAAAGCTCTTACAATAAAAAGGATCAAGAAATGTAGGGAAGACCTTGACAAACAACTTTTTAAAAGTATGACTGAACTCAAAAACATTCTGGGAGTGATAAACATCATAATAGAAGCAAAGGAAATAAGATGGCAGCGATACTTGTGTTAACCAGAGGCTTTGGTTAAAACACAGATGAAGAGTAAAGAGTATTATCTTAAACCTATGCTATTAGCTAGAACTGTGGGCCCCACACAAAGACCCATGAGGGACAGTACCTTCATTCAAAAGGTAAACAGCAAACAATATTTTCTACCTTGCCTCTGGATTTAGGAAGCAAGGACAATCTCTGAGAAGTCATACAGTCAGTTTGGCTTCATGTGGGTACAGTTTGATTTAACATTACCAAAGGATCTACAAAACCTGAAGCCAAGAATTAATGTAAAGTTGTTCCAGGGTGGTAAAGTGCTTGGAATTTTTGGCAGAAGGAACATAAATCCATGCTTCAAAAACACACCCTATTCCATGACCAAAGGATTATTGCTGATAAAGTCCTGCCAAACATGAGCTTACAATTCAAATTATAAAGCAAAGGAGGAAATAAATCATGAGCAAAAGTGAATGGGAATGAAAAAAGTTGGAGAACTACCAAGAAGTGCAATTAGTTATAATGTTTAAGTTGTTTCAATATTAAAAGACCAAAAAAAAGTAAAACAAAACAAAAACTAATCCCATTTGAGAAAGGAGCTCCAAATAATTGAAAATTATTAGTATTTTTAAAAATTTTAAATAGGGTATCAGAAATGGTTAATTGAAGACATGGATTAATGGTTAATTACCTAGGATGTAACATCCAAAAAAAAAAAATGGGGATAAGTAGGGCACAGAATCAACATTGAAATCAGATAATCAGAATCAACATTGAATCATAACTGAATCATAATTTCGTAGAATAAAAAAATGAATCAAAGTTTATAGAGGACAACAAATCCAAAGCCAAGAGAATAAAAAAAATCCATGTCTAGACACATCATAGAAACAACAGCAATGAGAAATAAAATGTAAACATTCAGAAATAAATAGAAGATTTTAAAAAGAATACAATTTTTAAGTTAGCAAACTTCTCAAAAGCAGCATATATGCATGGAATAGTGATATAATCTATTTTCAAAATAATGGTGAAAATATAACTACATACTCAGAATTTTATATCCAAACAATCAACAGTAACAGAGAAATAAAACTAGAAGAATTTAATCACTGGCCCTATGGAAGCCATTTTGCCTCTCTGTGGAACCTGAGAATGAAATATATATAAAAAGACAAACTAGGTCCTGGTAACACTTTTGAGATTTTGTGTGTAGGCAATCTTAATGACTGTCAGTCTTATACTTAGTCTTGGGGTAAAACATCTTCATTTTTTTAAAAAAAACAAAATGTAAATTAAAAATATCTAAGCACCACCACTACCACCCCAACAGTCACAACGGTAAATAAAGTGGTTTTTTTTGGTGTTTTTTTGGTGTTTTTTAAAGGGGCGGGGGGCAGTGCTGGGGTTGTGGCTCAGTGGTAGAGCACTCGCGCATGGGCAAGACCCTGGGTTCGATCCTCAGTACCACATAATAAATAAGTGTCCAACTACAACTAAAAAAGAAAATTTAAAAAAAAAAAAAAAACAACCTTTGGATAGAATTTGAAAACAGCTTACAAAAAAAGAAAAAAAAAATCGGTTAAGGAGTCTATATAAAATTTTGTGAGAGAACAAAGGCAGCCATGGGGAAAAAGTCTGAAGCAACTCTAAGCAAAGTCAATAGAATTTTCATGTAATATGGTAGCACATGATGTAGATCACACTTCTATAATTTGTTGACAGGTTTAAAAGATTCCAATACTTCCCACCAATGTAAAAACTTCAACTACCAGTAGAAATCTCAATTGCATTACATGATTACAAGTCAGAACAGTATTAAAGTTGGCAGGATGTAGTGCCTAGAGTTAACTGAGGCTATGAGAACACTGCCCCAAAGGTTGTAAAGAAATTTTGAATAAACAAAACTGGTTACTAAGTGGCTCCAGGGAAAAAAATACGTTGCTTACTATTTCAGATTAGCTTACTGTAGTTTTGAGCTCTTTCACAACTCTTAAAAAGTAGTAAAAAACCAATAGCAATTTGAAATGTTTCTTGCCTACAAATAAGCAAATAAATTCTGTCCAGTGAAGGTTCACTAGACTCAGCTATGGAGATCCCAGTTTTATCTGTTTTTGAATTCATTTCAACATTTCTTTGTAAGCCACAGAAGTTTGTGTTTCTCTGGATTCATTTTTGAACCAGTTGTAATATTTGTCTGGATTTCTTATGATAAATTAAGGAAGCCTAAACAGTGGTGCACACCTTTAAACCAAGTAGTCAGGAGGCTACAGCCGGAGGATCACAAGTTAGAGGCCCGTCTGCAGAATTAAGCCCAACCTGTCTCAAAAATAAAAAGAGCTGGGGATGCAGCTCAGTGGTACAGCACCCATGGGTTCAATCCCCAGTATGCCATAAATTCATGATATTACTTTTTTTGAAAATTATCTTTTAGTATCAACAAAAAACAATGTCTCTAAAAGAGACCATATTTCTGAAGATTGCATCAAAAAAATAAGTTGTCAAGTTTGGGTTTTGAACTAGTTCCTTTAATGAGAAAGTTTTACAGACTTCATAAAGCATAATTTGTTGGTTTCATTTAAGGTGATAATGTGACTATCTTAAATTATGTTCTGATTCAAAAACAGAAAATTACATGGTCTAATAAGAATTCCCACAAATGTTGAACTAAATAACTGATACATTTTATATGCTTTATTTAATCACATGTAAAACAATGATATCCCTGGCATATTACTGGAGCAAGATAAAACTTTGCCTTTTCAGACACAACCAAAAGTATTTCCAACCAGAAAACAACCTTAATTTAATGCTGTTTATTTTTACAAGTAGGGAAAATGTGGTCTAAGAGGTTTAGAGTTAAGGACACTAGATCATTAATAATCAGAAAACCTAGAAATTTCGGCCTTGAGTCTATCCAACTTGACAACCTAGTTCTACTGTACTATACTTCCTCTGTGCAATAAATTTTTTCCACAGTCCTAAATTTAGACCGCAATTTTTCATTATTATTATATTAATAGAATTTTACCTAGGAATAGGGGAAATACAGTATGTTCTAGGGATTACAATAGGTGTTTTGTTATCCTGTGTTTATTTTGGTATAATAGAGAAACAGTCCTGACATCTCAAAATTATTCATCTTAAAGGGGTACCAAAATCTTGTATGGTGATTTGTACTAGAAAATACACCGATTTTGAAAATTCAAACACAAAACTGAACTCCATGAGCCACGTATTTGTTAAATATCTGTATCCTGTACTTTTGAGACTTTTTTAACATTTAACACAAATGCTTATTTAATTCCAAAGTTCCATTTAAACCTATAGTCTACTGACATCATTATTGCATTCTCATCCAAACAGCTCATATTACATTATGATAAATGATAGCAAAAAGTGTTCCAGAACAGTCTTACAATCTTCAACACTACGAAGTTCCTAAAACAAATTACCATAACATCATTATGTCATCAAGCCCACTTTAATGACATTTAAATGCATTCCTATCAAAATTCAGCAAAGTAACACTGTAGTGTTTGCCCTTTTATCTACTCTCAGGAGTGGAAAATACTTACCCCATGTTCCTTAGCAGCTGTGACAACTTTGAGGAGGATATCTTCCTCAAAAAATGGTCTCACGGCATCATGGATAATCACAACCTCTGGCTTAGAAAGTCTGGAGTTGGGCTGATTGTCTGCCAATGCTTTTAGTCCATTGAAAATCGACCTGTGGCGAGTCACTCCGGCTTCAACTAGTGAGATGCGTTTATGCTTATACTTCTTAATGATATTTTCCATTGCTTCCATGTTCTCTCCAGTTACCACCACAATAATGTCCTTTATCCAACATGCTCTAAAAGAGAAGTATTTAGACATGTCATATGTATCGATTCTTAGACCCCTACGGCTAATAGAAAACTGAACTGCTGCAATAATAAATATCATTGTATTTACATAGGGAGACTAAAAACTAATAACCAAGTAAGTTCCATGCATTTTTATTAGGGGCAGTAAAAAGGCTGATGGAAAAGGACCAGTAAATGTTTCATACCATAGGTATAGATAGTGCTTCACATGTATGAAGATATTTAGTCTAGTATATGCCATATCAGCTGTTACATTTTTTAGTTAAGTTAAATTTGAGCCGGGTGTGGTGGCACATGCCTATAATCCCAGTAGATTGGGAGGTTGAGGCAGGAGGATCTTCAGTTCAAAGCCAGCCTCAGCAATTTAGTGAGTCCCTAAGGTGAGATCCTGTTTCTAAACAAAATAAAAAAGGCCTGAGGATGTGGCACAGTGGTTAAGTGAGTTCAATGGCTGGTATTGAAAAAAATATATACAATAATTAGAGTATCAATAAGTTACCTGGGGAACAGTAAATAGGATTGTGCTTTTAAATTTCCGTTTGTCATAATGTTCCCCCCCCCCCTCAATGGGATAAGAACAACTTGAAGCACTTTGGAATTCCAGAAATTGACCGTCCCTTTCAAGAAGTCCACTGAGTTGGCAACTGACTATTGAAGTATTAAAGCTGGAAAACTCACTGAACAAAAACATGGCTACATCAAGATAAAGAATGTAGTTTAATTGGGGAAAAACTAATGATTTTGTATAAATGTGGATTAGGTGAAAAATCTCACAATTCAGTGAAGTTAAATGAATTGTTCCAAGTTAACAAATGTAAAATTAGTTTTCTATTGTAAGATCATTTCCTAAAGAAAGACCTACTGACTTACTGGACTGAAAATAATTCATACTACGATTGGTTACCAAGTTTAAAAAGTCTGTCAGACTTCTCTTGGACACTAGTGCTAAGGAAAGCAAGCGTCATTGTAGACTTAATGTTCCATAGCCAACAGGCCCAAAGCAGAACAGCTGCTTCTGACCCATGTCATCAACTCTGAATAAAGGACATTTAAAATTTTTTAATGTAATTATTAGCATGAGAAATCAGATATTCATGCTAGAACAGTTAAGACTTTAAAATAAATCAAGTCCTATAATACAAAATAATAAACAAAAATTAAGTACTTACTATGTCTTAAGCATTTTTCATGATTTAACTCATGTAATCTTCATAATAACGTCGGTACTTTCATAATATGGGAAGCAAATCAGGATGGTATGAATATATAAATACATTTTTCTATATTACCATTTTATTCTAAAAAGGACTTGAAGTAGAAAAACATTTTTACGATTTTTCATCAAGCCAATATATTACATTTTCTTTCAGCTTTTGGAACATAGGCTCCATAATAGCAGAGACAATATCCGTTTTGTCCATTGTCATATCTAATTCCTAGTAGGCACTCAACAATTGTGGAATAAAAAAATGACCAGGAGCAGAATAACATTACACACCCTCAGGCTTAATGATTATGGGAAAAAAAAAAAGTGCTTCTCACTACTCTGAGAAATTACCAAAAACAAACAAAAAGCATAAAAACAGATTCCTCATGAAAGGCAGTTTTGTTCATTGTTTTCAATGTTTCTAGATGTTGAACTTGACCGATTTCCAGTTCCTATGGCTCCTACAGAATCAGGAATACCCATGTTGGCAAACACCAAAAGGAGATTCTAATCACAAATTAAACCGATGCAATAACACAGGATGCCAAAGATCTAACTATATATAGATATTTTTTCCCCTCTGCTAGGGATGGAACCAAGTGTCTTGGGTATGTTATGTATTCTACCACTAAGTCATACCCCTACTCCCAGCCTATAGTTCTTACAGGCAATGAAGAAGACTGTAATATAATGGTTATACTTTAGTTTTTCTTTGGAGTCCATTCCCCACTCTAACTTGCTCTACTTTACACCCTAGAATTTATACTGTTCATAAAGTCAGTCCCTCCTCAATGTGGAGTTTCCTAAGGTTTTGGCTTGACTGCTGTAGCTGTGACCCATCATTCTCCCATAATTTCATCTCCCCTATAATTTAATGAATGCAGCCTCTTAGCAATCTCCTTCTCATCTCATCCCAACATGAGCCATTCTTGCCACTTCTGAATGATATTTCTCAAGTGTGAATTCTGAGGCCAAGCCCTACTGGAGCAAGGCCCTTGGAGACCTGACCTCAGACAACTTGCCACACAGACTTCCTCTCTCCCATCCTGCTCTTACTCTCACACCCAGATGCTCCCTGAAGAAAGGACAGTGCATTCTCTTACCCACAGGTCTCTGCTTGATCTGCTTTCTTTGCCTCTCAACAATGCTCTCACCTTCATTTCTCCCCAGTCCCACCTACTCCCAAGTCCTACTTGCTCTTAGCTCAATTCAGACATAGTCCCCACCAAGGAAGTTTTCTGTGACACCCAGCAGGGCACAGACTCCTCCTCTCCACTAGGCTTCATCTCCAGTCTTATTATATATCATACCACATCCTAGTAATAATTTTCTATCACCCTTGCGAAGCTGCCAACTCACAGAAAGCAAAGACTACACCCCCGACTGGCACATATTTGGCTTTCAGTAATACTAATCATAAAAACAACAGCTAAGAAGTATGGAATGTTTGCTAAATGCCATGGGCTGTGTAGAGCATTCTGCCTGCAATATTCACTTTTCATCCACATCAGCCCTATGAGGCCAGTCACTGTTATCTCAATTTTATAGGTGAGACCACAGAGGCAATGACCTAACCATGATTACACAGCTAAAAAACAAAGGGACCAAGAGGCTATAGTCCCAATCTGATTTTGGAGTGCTTACCTTTAACCTCTAGAAGTGAGATAACACTGAGGGAAGGCATAACAATAAAGAGAAAACATCATTCTGGATCATTTTGCCTCTAGCACTTCATTTATGGTACTAGGGTTGAACCATATGACATTGCTGCTTTTCTAGCCAAAAAGTCAAATTTCATATAATTTCTAAGAACTCAAGCCAAAGTAGTCATCCCTTCAACCACATATTGAGTCATTCAATGAACATCAAGTAAACATACAGCACTTGGCAGGTACTATGCTAAACTCTGGTGATACAATAATGAACAAAGACTGACAGCATTTCCCATGTCAAAGATCACATGTCAAATGTCTGCTAAATAAATTAACAGAATGTTTGATTAGGGATTTAAAAAAAAACTAAGTTCTAAGAAGTTATAAAAAGCAATCTAATAATATGTGTCAATTATTTAATGTGACACCACATTGCCTTCTTTTTAAAAGGAGTCATAATACATGTTCAATTAAATTAGCGGCAGGATTGCCCTATAAAGCGAGAAATAGAGATTTATCCTACTCTATTCACCTTTGTTACTTTTCACAGCATATTCCATGAGGAGAAAAAAATCCTTACAGCAACTTTTAAAGAGATCATGTAGATCATTTTTTAAAAGGCAGCCTGACACAGTGGTACACAGCTGAAATTCCAGGCACTCAGGAGGATTGAAAGTTCAAAGCCAGCTTCAGCAACTTACTAAGGCCCTAAGCAACTTATAGAGACCCTGTCTCAAATATAAAAAGGTCTGGAGATGCAGCTCAATGGTTAAGTGTCCCTGGGTTCAATCCCTAGTACCCAAAAACAATTTTTTTTTTAATAATTAAAAGAAAATGGGGCTAGGGATATAGCTCAGGTGGTAGAGCACTTGCCTGGCATGCACAAGGCCCTGGGTTCAATCCCTATACCACCAAAAAAAAAGAAAAATAAATGAAGGAACAGCACAGGACAAAGTTTTCAAATATGTTTTCAGTGAATTAATGGGATTAAATTTTACTAAAATTTCCTTGAAATAGCTATAAAATAATTCTCTATGTTCCAAAGAGAGCAAAATAGATATAAATAATTACAGAGATATACTTGTGGCCTTAGACAATTTCAAACAACATATAAAGCTCTAATTAAATGTTTTAAGCCAGTGTTCTTCAAACTAGATTTCGAGTCCCATTAGTGTGTCATGAAATCAACATCATTGGGTAAATGAAAGAGATATTAGAAAAGTTAAAATGCATAGCACATAACCAGGGGAAAAGTTCCACAAAGTTTAGATAACACCATCTTGGACCACTTGAGAAAGAACAGGTCTATTATGTTATTTTGTTCAATAGCCAAGGATATTTCCAATACTTACAAACTGTAATAAGCACTGTTTGTATTTCAAAGGATTTATTCGCATTCTTTTCTATTATAGAATTAAATTTTAATACTGTAAAAGGCTTTTAATAATGTAAAAAAAAAAAAAACAGCAGGGATAAAAAAAAACCATTACCTCACACAGTGCCTACAGAATATTTGCTGAATAAAGGCATCTAGTCTACCTCTTAGCTGAAGGCAAGTCCACACCAAACCCCCAGCAGCCCAATTCTATCAAGTTCTCTTGATTATTTCCTTCCTAGCACATTCCATAGGCAAATATAAATCTAGCCCCAAGCTCCATAACACCTACAGACATTTTAAGAAATTTAATATCTCAGAATTTATTTTCTCTTGTAACAATAGTTATTACTTACAAGCAGTATACTGCTCTGACAGTTTAATAAGATCAGTTGAAAACAGGACCTTTAAACAAATGCTTTCTTTAAAAGATGGGGGATGGGGGGGGAATCAAACCCTATAAATACTTCTCAAGTGCTCTAATCCAGGCTGCATAAATTCAACCTCAAAGGGACAGTGGCAGCTGCTACTCACCATCAGGACAGCCTGGGTGAAAATGTGGCTTCTGAACTGCGCTGTGGCCATTGTCTATGGGTTCCCAACTACCCATACCTACTCTGATGTTTTAGCAAAAAAAAAACTGAATTGGTGTTAACAGCCTGTTCTTGATTGCCTTCGCAATGTCAAAGTCTCCTTGCTATGCCTGTGAAGACTTCCAGTTATCAAGCTTCAGCCTACTTGTCTTGGTCTTGTTTCGAACAAGTCCTATGGGGGCCTGTGGGAAGGCAATACAAACTTCATCATGTGACTTATACAGATTATAGTAGCCCTGTTCCTTTCCTTGACTCAAACTTGACCCCCTTAATAAAGCCTTAAGACAAAAAAAAAAAAAAAAAAGGTAAGTCAAATTCATCCATGTGATCACTCACTACACGCATCCTATTATACCTTTCTCTTGGAATCCCTAATCCAATTAATCACTAACACTAATCAATTCTATTTCTTAAATATTTTTTCCTGTCTTCCCACTCCACTCCAATTACCTTAGTTTAATTCACATGATAAATATTGCTCATTTGGACTAACATTCATGTCTCATTCTAGTCCGATTCAACAGCATTTTCAGTGTTTCACAGAATTGTAGTAGGATAGACTCAGGAGGGTGTGACAGAAGGATTACAAATTCAAGGTCAGCCTCCTGGAAACTTAATGAGACCTGGTCTCAAAATTTTAAAAAGCAGGCAGGAGGGCTGGGGGTGTAACTCAGTGGAGAAACACCCTGGGGTTCAATCCCCAGTTAAAAAAAAAAAAAAGATTGTAGAACAGAACGGGTGTTTAAAGCACACAAGAAAACAAAAATTGAAGGAAAAAAGTGAGAAAATACATTCAAGTTGATATGTTGGGGGAAAAAAAATCACCTTGGTGTATTAAACAATAACATGAACCTCCACTGATTTTCTAAGCAATAAGCAACCAAATCTCAAATTGCAAGACTGAGTTTCCATTGTCAACAAATGATCTACAAAATTTTTACCAACATACCTAGAGTTGTAACAGAGGCACTAATCACTGTAACTGAAGACAGAAATGTGGGTTGGAAAGTCAATATATTAATATATGATGACATATATTACTATTACCAGTAATAAATTTTAAAAAATGACATCTAGGAGGGTTGGTTAGTCTGGAATAGCCAAAAAAAATGGGCAAGATGACAACTAAAAGATCAAGAAAGAGGCCATTTTTGGCCATGCTTATTCAGAGTCATGGGAAGGGAATTCCTGACAATAGATCTGAATGCATTTTTGTAGATCTGGACAGCACCTCAGTCTCAGATTTATATGGGAAGACCAATTACAATAATGTTTTCTGTTGAGCATGAATCACATTAATGAACAAGTGGTCTTAAGCAGGTCCTCCACATTAGACAGCTCAAGAAACCTCAGGAGTTATGGGAAAAGCCTGGCCAGATCTTGTTCCCATCTACCTTCAGAGCAATTCCCATTCCACAACTCTGAATAAGCAGGGACAAAAATGGCCTATCATGGACTGGCTCTAGCTCAGCGGTTCCTTCGACACAGAACTTATAAAAATGGCCTATCGTTCTTGTTCATTTTTTGGTTATTCCAGGCAAAATTCCTTAGGTATTTGAAACCAGAAATTAGATTACTGGGAGGGATTTTTACTTCAGTAGGATCCTCCAGTAGTTTCCCTTTCCTCCACCTTTTGTTTTTTTCCCCTTCCCTCAACTGGAAAAAAAAAAAAAAAAATCAGAGTACCTTGCCAGTCTGTGACCCAGGCAGCTGCAGGATTTTCCCAGCAGGTTTCAGCCCATGCCAGGGCCTTGAGCATTCACAGACACTGATAAAGATGTTTATTTCCCAGAGAAGCAAAAAGAAAATGGTGTCAAACCTGAGCTGAAGTTCCTTAAACTCTCATTAACCACATCCCCTGTTTCATGAAGATACACCTTGGTAGAATATCCCTTTCACTGTGTCCTGAGGTTAGGCTGCAGTACTCTATAAACTCCCCCTAAAAAATGCTTTATACTGATGACTCTTGATGTTTAGAGCTTCTTTCTTTGGAATTTCAACCAGCCCCAACTTAGGATTTTTTTTTTGGGGGGGGGGGGGGGGGACTTCAGTTGAAGATTGTAAGGAACAAAATAAAGTGTTACTCCAGATTCAAGCAGTACACTTCCCTGCTAATAATACCACTGTCACATGATTTCTTGGAACAACATCTCCTTGCAGAAACTCAAATCACAAAGCAATAAAGCACACATACAAAAAAAAAAAATCGCAACAGTTACATAAGGGACTAATACCTCTGATCTCAGTTCCTTGTTAGTAAAATGAAAAGAAAAAAAAATCAAAGTCTCTTTAAGTCATAACCTTTTATAATTTATACTTCAATTCCCTTAATAGACTATTAAGACTTCTTGACTGCTGTTATCACTTAGGGAAAATGGAAAACAAGTGTTCTTTTGCCTTATTTTCCATAAACAAGACTTTGCCAAACACTATAATTTTTAGGGTCCACCTATCTCCAGCTACCTCAGAAGATACAAAAATGCAAATTTAGGGTTTTTTCCAAGGGAAGGACTGTTAAATATATAAATGACTACAATCCCCTGTCTAATTACCAAGTAGACAAGGATCATGCTGGCCAAGATCCATTATGTCCCATAGTATTGCCTGCATATATGACCTAAATTGTTACAATCTCTAAGGCACTAGAACATTGTAGGTCTGCGACTTTAGGGTGTTTCAGGGAAACAGACTGAGGTAGAAACTGGAACAGTTTCAAAGTCTGTATGAGTTTCAGATGTGACCACTTGTCTGATTATGTTCATCAAAGGTATAATGGCTCCTTACACTTTCCGATTCCAAATGCCAATATTCAGAAAGTAAAATAAACTTAAAAGCAACAATTTTGGCCCTTTGGCTTCTGAGTTGTGTGTGTGTGTGTGTGCGGGGGGTCCCTTTCTGGATAACAAGCCAAGGACAATAGCCTCCTGAAAAGGCTGTTTATGCAGGAGAAGGTCACTTTGCTTGAAATACAAATGGTTCACTTCAATCCAAGGTTTAACTTAACTACCCCACTGGCTTCAAAAAGATGTTTGAACGCCTTGCAAAACTACATGGTTCTTTGTAATCCCGCTACTTCCCACTCCTTCAGCCTCTCCCCATCTATCACATTACTTGGTGCTAAAAGCAAAAATATGGTACCCCTTTTTCACCTCCTCGCTATTACTGCCTTAGGACAGCCTTCCACCATTCCCCTCTCTCTCCTCCATTTCTTGAACTAGCTCCCTTCAGTCCCTTTTCTAAAAGGATAAAGCGACTACTGACTTCAATTCTACTCTTAATCCCATTTCCACTACTAAAACGTTTGGTCCAACCCCTCTCCACCCTCAGCACACCGTTTTCTATCTTACACAGAAGGTGTTCTGCAAACGTTTGCGAGTGAAGGAAAAAACGCGCAGAAAACTGGAAGTGCTTCGACTAAACCTCAGTGCACGCATGCGCAGAGACGGTGAACGCGAAACGTCTCCCAGAATTGCTTCTCTTTGGGCCCCACAGGGGCCACAGGTAGGACCCAGTGTCCCTGAGCCCCAGCCCATGCGTCAGTGAATCCAGCTTCACGTGCTGGACTTCACCTCCCGCCACGTTATCTGAACACGTAAGGCCCTCTGAGGGCAGCTTTAGCTTCCGTGTCCATCTGCTAAAAGGCTAGAGCTGCCCGTCCCTGAGGCGCTGGCGGGAACAGAGCTCCAGCTTCAGAGACTGAGCCCAGCGATCCGGCCCATTAGTCCCTAGAGGGGAAAGCACCGGCGCAGTGGAGCGGCGGGGCAGGGCGGCGCAGTGGAGCGGCGGGGCAGGGCAGGGCAGGGCACGGAGGCCGGCCTGGGACTCCGCGGAGGCACGCCCGGCGCCGCTTTACCTCTCCATGGCCTGCAGGGTGTAGCTGATGAGCGGCCTCTCCAGGACTGGGCAGAACTGCTTCGGGGTGGGGACGCCCATTCTCTCTCCGCACCCCCCCGCCGGCAACACGGCGGCCACGGCGAGCGTGCTGCTCCCGGGCTCAGCCCCAGCAGCACTCAGCAAGGAGACCGAGGCCGCCTGGTCCGCGCTGCACCGGCTGCTCAGGCAAGGCCCGGGCTCTGCGGGCCTGGAGCCGCTGCGCTGTCCCTGCTCCATGACTGCGTCGGGTGGCGCCGCGAGACCCGACCCTCAGCGGCCTGTGGTTGCTCCTGTTCTCAGCCGGGATCACGGCGTGGGCTGCGGACAAATAAAGTGCTCTGCGAGCCTCCGGACCCCGCTACGGCTGGCCTAAGGGGATGAGCCGCAGCTGCAGCTGAGCCTGTTTTCCCTGGCCTCTGCACCCGGCCCAGCGCCTCCGGGAGGGCTGGCTTCACGGCTGTTAGGTTCTCCCGGGGCAGGCCCAGCGTGGAGCAGGTGTTTGTCCTTACATACTTAAGGGCCACTTCACGTTGCACACGCAACAGAGGTCAGTCAGAACTCTTGAGTTATGAGGAAGGCAAGGCAAGGGCCGTGAAGCAGGCTTGTAATCCCAGCCATTCCGGAGGCTGAGGCAGGAGAAACTCAAGTTCAAGGCCAGCCACAGCAATTTACCTAGGCCCTATCAAATAAAAACTAAAATTGCCTGGGAATGTGACTCAGTGGTTAAGCACCCCTGGGTTCAATCCCTGCTACCAAATATTATGTATATATAAAATGTTGCGACTGGCAAATGTTATTAAACCTCAACACCTGTGAAGAGCATCCTGCAGCCTGTGTTTCACCCTCAACTACTGGGATTTAATTGGTCTCCCGTGTGGCATGGGTTTTGGAATGTTTTTAAAGATCCTCAGGTGACCTTAAGGAGCAAGCACTTTTCTGGAACTAGAGAGTCAAAGCACCAATGCTAATTGCTGATCACTTGACCACATATCTCATTTAACTTCCAGGAGAAGAAGCCTGGGATTGCTGTTTTTCTTTTCCAAAAGGAGAAACAGAATGTTTACGAGATTCTGTAAGATGCGCAGCTAATGGCAGAGCGGCCTTCAAACTCTTATACAGAAGTGCTTCCAGAGTTGAGGAATCCCAGTCCTGAAGCATATCTTTCCCTTATTTAGTACCGTCCTTGATGGTGTTTACCTTGAAAATATAGTGGAGTGTTTGGAATGCCAGAACATTATTGAATTAGGTCCTGGAAAGGTATACCACAAGAGCAGGACCTTGCTTTGCTTTTTTGAGTTAGGTTGTGTGCTCAGATCCTGAAATGCAACAAGAACTTAACAATTACTGAATGAATTGCTGATTGAATAAATTAGTAATAATTGAAGAGTAATTATTTGCTAATTCATAATTATTAATCACCCATCAACAGCTAATATAAGATTCAGAAAGAACCCTGAGAAATGAAAATATTATAGTTCTTGGAATAGTTTTTGTTCTAGACATCTATCGTAGGCAGAATAATAGCTGCCTTGAGGAGCACATATCCTAGTCTCCAAAACCTATGAATATATTACCTTAAATTGCTACAGGGACATTACAGATTTGATTAAGATAAAGGATATTGAGAAGATGAACACACTCTAGATTATCCAGGTGGGCCCTACAAAATCACAAGAGGTCTTATATAAAGGACATCAGAGTTAAAGAAGGGGTCTAGGTGATACAGAGCCATGAGCAAAGAAAGCCAGCAACCTCTAGAAGCTGGAAAATGTAAAGAAACAAATTTTTTCTCCTAGACTTTCCAGATGGGTGCAGCCTTGCCAACCCATTTTCAGACTTCTGATATTCAGCACTGTATTATGTTTGTGTTGCTTTAAGCCATTGAGTTTGTGGTAATTTGTTACAGCAGGAATAGATAACTAATGCAGCATCACCCTTGGGAAGAACTCTAAATTTACAATTTGACTTTAATTTTCAAATACAGTTATACATGGTTTAAATATATTGATGTGATTGAAAACAGAATGCTGTTAATTCAACTTTACTACATACCATTACTAGACCATGAGGGTGTGTTGACTTTTCAGATAAGCCCTTCATCTTGTGAATAACAAAGTATATTACATCATGTTGTGAGTATTCAAAAGGTGACTTCATTAAGTGTATACCATAAATTTATAAACACATTTGGCATGTCTTGACTTTTTTTTAAATAGTCATTATTGTTCACCGGAAAATTGGAAGGAAGGTACAGAGACTTCCCACATATGCCCTGTCCCCACAGATGGATAATCTACCCATTAGCATAATACCCAACAAAGGTGTATATTTATTACAACTGATGAAACTACATTGACTCTTTATTATTGCCCACCATCCATGATTTACCTTAGGGTTCAATATTAGTGGTACACATTCTTTCTATGGGTTTGGACAAATTTGAAATGGCATATATTGACCATTAGAGTATCATACAGAGTAGTTTCATTGCTATAAAAATCCTCTGTGGTTTGCCAGTTCATACCTCCATTCCCAATTCTTACCTATTTGTCCTTTCCTATCGCTTTATGTTATCTTCTAGGGGTTTTGTAGTTTTGTATTTTGCCTTTAGGCCTGTGGCCCGTTTTTTAAATTATTTTTGTGAAAAGTGTAAAGTCTAGCTAGGTCAAGATTGATTTTTGTTTGTGGATGTGCAGTTATTCAGTACAATTTGTTGAAAAGACAATCTTCATTTCATTTTATTGCCTTTGTTGCTTTGTCAAAGATCTATACTTATGTGGGTCTATTTCTGAGTTCTTTATATTGTTCCATTGATCTATTTATAAATACTTGCACAAATAGCCTAATGACTTGATTACTGGAAATTTATAGTATGTCTTGAAATTGGGAAGTGTCAGTCTTCTAATTTTGTTCTTATACTTCTTGACTATTCTGAGTCTTAGGCTTCTTCATACAGTGTGTCAAGATTCACAAAATAACTTTTTGAGATTTTTATTTAGATTACTTGGATCTCTAGCTCACATTGGGAGAAATTGACACCTTGACAATAGTAAGTCTTTCTCTCTGTGAACATGGAATATCTCTATTTAGTTGTTTTCAAAGATTTTTTCCTCAGTTCTATAGTTTTTCTCATATAGATTTTGTGCATATTTTGTTAAATTTATACCTAAATATTTCATTTTGAGTGGTTTTAAGGTAAATAATTATATTATCTTTGCATTACTACAAAATACCTAAAACAGCTCACCTATAAAAAGAAACTATGTGTTAAGCTCAGAGTTTTGAAGGGTCAAAGTCCAGGGTTGGGAGGGGGGACTTTGTTTTGCCTTTGGTGAGATAGGCAGATGGCTACAGGTCGTGTCTGGACAATCTATAGAGCAAACCATTACATCTCAAACCAGGAAGAAGGAGAAAGAGAATGAGGTCCCATGATTCCTTTCCAGGGCACACCCTGTGACCTAAGGACCTCCCACAAGACCCCACTTCTTAAAAGTCCTTGGCACTTCCCAGTAATACCAAGCCATTAACATATGGGCCATCAGGGGACAGAAGTAAAGCTATTAAACCATAACAATTGTTATTGTGTTTTTAATTTCAAATCCCACTTGTTCATTCCTGGTATACAGAAAGCAGTTCACATTTTTTGGTACTATCTTTTATCCTGAAATCCTGCTATAATCACTCATAAGGTCAACAACTGGTTGTCTTTAATTTTAATGTACATAAAAGTCACATGAAATGGAAGTGGCTCTTATCTTTGTATCTGACAGACCAAAAATTTGATATTTTTGTTTGTTTGACTTGTCAGTGTGCACTAGAAGATTTATCTTACAGATTTTTTCTATTATTATTAGAGAATGTTAGATCTAGTTAATTTTTTTTTATACTGAAGATAGAATCCAGGAGCGCTTAACCACTAAGCTATATCCCAGTTCTTTTTATTTTTATTTTTTTTTTTTATTTTGAGGCAGAGTCTCACTTCATGGCTTAGGGCCTCACTAAATTGCTGCGGTTGGCTTTAAACTTGTAAACCTCCTGCCTCAGTCTCCCAAGTCACTGAGATTACAGGTGTGCACCATCACACCTGGCAGCTCTAGTTAACTTTTCTAGTATTCTACTTACTTTTAATTTTTCTAGTATTCAAGTAAAATCATTCCCTTTCTCAACCACACTTACTGCCTTAATACCATTTCTAGAGATGAATTTAGGTATTGCTCACAAATGCTAATGAATAGCTTAATAGTTTGCTCTTTAACTCATTGAAATCAGAGTCAAGGAAAATAAATGATTGATCTTCCACAGGCCACCCCCAGCATTCTGTCAGCCTGTGAATTCCAATTCACATTCTTCTACTTACATGGCTCATGTAAATAATACAGCCTATTAATCTCTGACTTTTACCTCATTTTTGTACATAAGAAAGATAATACACAGAATTGAGGTGTTTAGATAGGTAATTCAGACTAAATAACACCATATGACAATAATATTATTCTTTCATTTTCTCAATATTTCTTGAAAAGTTAATAATTAACTGCCTCAACTGTCTCCATTGTTTTTTCTTGAATAGCTGAAAAGGGAAACAAGGAATATTTGCCTTTAGGACTGAAAGAAAAATTTGACTTAGTTTATTGTCTTAAAGTTTAACACTCCATAAGAACTATTTGAGGATGAATTTTTATGTAATATTTTTACATATTTATATAATAATTTACATATTATATAACAATCTTGAAAAGTATATTTTTGGTACCTTACTGACAGAAATTTTTATTCAGGAGATCTGGGGGAGTTCCAGATATCTGCATTTTTAATAAGTCTCTTAAGTGATTTTTGTGGTAGAACCAACTTTAAGTAAACACTGAATTAAAAAAATATATATATACCCTCATTTATTTTGCATTCAATTTGTTGAGGCCATTTATTTTAAAACAGAAAAATCTCTACCAAATAATATGGTATTTTCTTTTGTTTTGTTTTCTCCACCAAGAGTTGTATACTGAGCCTATCAGGAATTTCTAAACATTAAGCCTACTCTGTGTTGGAAAGGGAGTCTAAGGACCCCACTCTCTATTGGAGATGCACAAACTTGTGTCAACAAAATGACTACCCATTTATCAGTTTTTAATAAATAACACATTGGTGGTAACAACAGGAGAAAAATAATGTATTTTGCCTAATTCCTTTCATATGGAAGTAGACTCCCACTTCAACAAATTATTTATTTGATACCTCAT